AAAATAGTTTACCCGAAAAATAATACTTTGAATTGAATTATTAAATTTGTGAAAGAATAGATATTATATATATCGAAAATCGTAATAAAAAAATTGATTACATGAACAAACTCAAATTGTTATTCCAAACACACTAAATGACAACCAAACAATTTTTCGTACATTTACAAAACAAATTGTTTCCATTTGAAATTTATTGAAAAAAAAAAAAAAAAACCAATAAACACCCTACAAAGCATGAAAAAGATAAAAACAAAACAAAATTTAACTAAGGCTTTGACAGTCAAATTCTCACCTTGTTTTTGGTCTTCAGAAGCAACTTCCAATATAAATTTTTTAAGGGTAAACTATTTTTTTTTTTTAAGTCCATAGCTGGACCCCTTGTCATTTTAGTCCGGTAAGTGGAGCATGTCACAAACTAGTCTTATAAATGAAAAACTTTTGCTGTTTTAGTCCTCCGGCGCGGGAGATGCCCGCGTGGCTCGCCGGAGGTGACGTGTCCGCCAGGTGTCACTGACCTGGCGGACACGTGGATTTTTTATTTTTATTTTTATTTTTTAAAATTTTTTTTTTAAAACTTATTTTTAATTTATTTTAAATTTTATTTGTATTTTTTTATTTTTTTATTTGGTCCAATTAAAAAAAATAAAAAATAAATAAATCCACGTGTCCGCCAGGTGTCGCTGACTTGGCGGGACACCCGGCGGACACGTCACCTCCGGCGAGCCACGCGGGCGTCTCCGGCGCGGAGGACTAAAACAACGAAAATTTTTCACTGGGACTAATTTGCGACAGGCTCCACTTATATAACTAAAATGATAAAAATGTCAAGTTACGGGACTAACAAAACAGTTTATCCAATTTTTAAAATTAAATAATACATACTAATCAATACAATTCAATAGTTTTTATTATCTAGTTACCTAAATTTATTATAAATTTAATTATTTTATTGAAGATTTATTACTTAATCGATCATATAATTTTATTAAGTATTATGATTATTTTATTTACAAATATATATTAAAATACAATAGTCAATTATAAACCATTGAAGACATACCAGGTCGTATTTAAAAAATAGTATTTCATATGTCTTCAAAAATAACGAGGTTATATATTTCGATGCGGATTTTCATGTATGTTGTATTTTTTTTTTTTTACTTTTTATTTTTATAATAAAAGAAAGTAATATAATTTTTACTAAATAATTAAATAAAAGCATTTTTAAAAAATAAACCAAAAAAATGAACACATTTTTAAAAGACCCAGGAAATAATAAATTAAGTATAGAGAATTTACTTCAAATATTTTAACATTAAATGTTCGATGACTGACTCAATTTTAAAATAGTTAATGCCTCGTTAAGTCTACATATGATGTGTTTACTTGATAATTTTTTAAAGGGTAAACTTTTTTTTAGTCCCGTAACTGGACACCTTTATCATTTTAGTTTCGTAAGTGGAGTCTGTCGTAAACTAGTTTCATAAGTGAAAAATTTTCGTTGTTTTAGTTCTCCGGCGCCGGAGATGACCGCGTGGTTCGCTGGAGACCTGGCGGACACGTGGATTTTTTTTTAATTTTTTTTAAAAATTATTTTTAATTTATTTTTAATTTTATTTGTATTTTTTTTTTATTTGGTCTAATTAAAAAAAATTAAAAAATGAAAAAAAAAATCCACGTGTCCGCCAGGTGTCGCTGACCTGGCGGACACGTCACCTCCGGCGAGCCACGCGGGCGTCTCCGGCACCGGATGACTAAAACAGCGAAATTTTTTCACTTATGGGACTAGTTTGCGATATGCTCCACTTACAGGACTAAAATGATAAAAAGGTCCAGTTACGCGACTAAAAAAACAGTTTACCCGTTTTTAAATAATAATCTATTTTATTAAATAATACATTAAAATTGATATTTCATATGTAAAAAAAAAATAATATAATTAAAAAGTTCACCAAATTAGCTATATGCATATTCTTTCATTTTTCCATTCAAAGTTGAAGCTTGCTTCTAGTGCATTGAAAATGTGTTAGAACAATTAAAACTTATACATTAATATATATAAAAAAAAAAAATCAATTTTGGTTACAATATAATCAAAATATATCAATTTTAATTCAAATATAAAAAATTTATTAATTTAAGTTTAATTACAAAACAATTTCAATCAATTTTGGTTCTGCCATTTAAAAACTAACGAAATTTTTTGATATTGACGTGGTAGATGACATGGAAACAACACGGCGATATACAATTATACATTGTCATGTTGTCACACGGCTGTGTACAAGTATACACGGCTATGTATTTTTCTATTTGGTCTAAAATTTTGATATTTGTTGTTATACGTCTCATATCTATCTATCTGTTTGTGTTTTACAGGGAGTTTTAGAAATATTAGTATTATAGTGAGATGTAATGAAATAAAAGTAAAATGACTAAACTGTCCTTATTAGTAGTGTATAATATAAAGTAATGATATTCGTGTAATATATTGTAAATTAGAATGATATTTGTAATATTAGGTAGATAATATAGTTAGTAAAAAAGAAAATTGATACTTTGCTGTAGGACGAACTAAAATAGAAAAATTGATAGATTGTTAAGGGATGGATGGATTATTTTTTTAAGAAGGTATTTTAAATTTAAAATAGTTGATATAGTTAAAATGAAAAAAATTAATAGTAATCATAATATAATTAAAATGTATCAATTTTGATTTCAATATAAAAAATTCATCAGGTATGTTCTTTTAAAAAATTGTGCCTAAAACTTTATTATTTACCAAAAAAAAAATATTTTCCTAAAAATATCTGATTAAACACCTGTATTAAAAATTAATTTCACTTAACCCACTCAAATATGTATATGTACTTTTTTGTATTAAAATAAAAATATTATGATATTTTATTGACGAGTAGAAGTATATAATAAATTTTTAACAAAATTTTCATTTTCGAGTGTACGAGCTACATTTGTATAAGGAATTTCTTTAGAAGTTGACATTATTTTTATTGTAATAGAAAATATATATTTCATTCATCCCCTAAAATTATAATACAAATTCATTTTTTTTTTTTAGTTGTTCATTAAATTTATATCTATTTTATATATAATAAACAATTTTTCACTTATAATTTTATTATTTTTACTTTAATAAATACTAATCAATTTATCACTATTTTTTTATTTACTATATTACTTTTTTTTTAATCAATTTTTAATAATTTTTTCATAATATTTATGATATACTCTCTTCGTCCTATATAATTTGTCAACTCTTTTTATTTTTTATCTGTCTCACATAATGTCGTTACCTTTTTTTTCAAAATATAATTATACACTTTAATCACATTTTAAAATTCATAATATATAATTTTTTTATTTTAATTAAAGTCATTTTAATCTTAATATATAATTATTTTTATAAATATATTTTTTAACTACTTACTAATTATATAATACTTAAAACTTCGTGCCACAACTAAAATGGACAAATTAGCTGGGACAGAGAGAATATTTTTTTTCCTATTCTACTTCAATATTAAGATATTATTAATTTTTAGGTTAAATTATTTTTTTAGTCTCGTATCTGACCCCTTTATCATTTTAAGACTTTAAGTGAATCATATTTGAAAATAGTCCCGTAAATAAAACAATTTCGCTAAAATGGTCCTCCGGTGCTAGAGTCGCCATGCTGACAGCCGTTGCTACGTGGCGCTTACACGGCTGATATGTTATTGCCACGTAGATGCCACGTTGAATGACTATTTTAGCGAAAACATTTTCCTTGCAGACTATTTTGAAACATAATTCACTTATATGTCCTAAAAATGATAAAAGATGTCATATACGGGACTAAAAAAATAATTTAGCAATACATTTTGTAAAATTAAAAAAATTCCACGTGTCGCTGACATAACATTTACATGGCAATGACATGTCAGCCGCGCCAGCGCCACGTTGGCAACGGCGGACCAGTGTGGTGACTACATCACCGGAAGACCATTTTAGAGAAATTTATTTACTTACTGTACTATTTCAAACATGATTCACTTAAAACTGTAAAATAATAAAGTAGGTCACAAAACTAGAAAAATTGTTTACCCTAATTTTTAATATTGTGTCTAAAAAAATTTATATAAACTTGGCGGATGAAGGAAGTAAATTTATTCAAATATATTCAAACTACTTCAATACTATATTGATGATTGATTCGGGTTGCATACCGACTAATTTTAATTCGTTGGATTAAAAATTAATTAATCATTGAATTAAAATTTAATTTAACGATTAATATAACATTAAAAGTTAAAATTTTAGATTCATGTCAGCACTTTACGACTCTTAAAAAATTATATTTATGCTTATATTAGATAATTACATTCAACTATTAAAAGAATTAAATGGTATTAAAAAGATTATAAAAAAAAGTAATTTCAACTTAATGATAATAAATTATAATATATATATATATAGCACACACTACTATTTCAATAATAATGGACAGTGACGAAATCAGCAATAAAAATCCGGAAGAGGACGGCAAAATATTGAGTCAGTGTTGTTTTCTTATTCATAGTATACTTTAACAAAAAAAAAAAATGAAAAATTTAAATGTAATGGAAAAATTTTCAACAAAATTACATAAAATTTAATATTTTTTTACTATCAAAAAATAAAATTTAAAGCCTAATAAAAGTATAAATCAACAAACGAGATTTTTTACATTATAAAATAAAAAATCAAGATGAACAAATTACTATAAAATATATAATTTATTATTTTTACATTAAAAGATATATATATTTTGAGAGTTGGGATCAGCTAACCCCTCTAGCCCTTCGTAGTTCCGCCCCTGATCATGGAGCTAGTAAAATAATACCAAATACACAATCAACAATTCATAAAAAATAAAAAAAGTACAAGAAAATTATAACATTGGGTAATTTTTTTTTTCGACATAATTTTCAATATATATATTTTTTATTTTTTTCACAAAAGTTAACATTCAATATAAAATATTATTTTTTTTATTATCGACGTAATTTTTTCAAATTTAAATAGCAAACAAACAAACCATAAAACACTCTAACGTAATTAATTTCCATTGTAAATTTGCTACATTCAATTCCTAGGTATCCTCATGAACTTGATGTCTTCAACAAGACAATCCAAAGCAAGAAATGAAGATCCACCATGGCCAACACTTTTTCGAGCAAGTTTTGCCATCGCATCGGCTTTCTCCGAGAACTCCTCCTTCCTCGACCCCATAAGCTCCCTAATCATCCCCTCGATTACACGTCGATCGCACTTATCCTTCATGTCCAATCCCAACTTCCAAACCTCTTCCACAAATCTACTGTTCACCTGTTGGTCGACAAAATACGGCCAGCAGATCATCGGTTTCCCCTCAACGATACTTTCTAGAGTCGAATTCCATCCACTATGCGTAAAAAATCCTCCCACTGCCGGGTGGGCTAAAACCTCCTCTTGTGGGGCCCATTTAACGATAAAACCCCTCTCCTTCGTATTTTTCAATAATTCTAATGAAATCTCGTCGAATTCCGGAATGTTGTCTTCGACAACCGAGTCAGGCCTTTGGACCCACAAGAATCTTGTCCCACTATTAATGAGGCCGTGCCAGAGCTCGACGAGCTGTCGTTTGGTCACGACGGCGAGGCTTCCAATGCTGACGAAGAGAACGGATTTCGAGGGTTGCGAATCGAGCCAGGAGATGCAACTCTTGTCTTCTTTCCAGATGCTTGTCGATCGGTCTTGAGGTGGCGGCGATCGGGATTTTAGGTGGGTGTGGAGAGGCCCGACGGCATAGATTTGTGGGGAGATGTTTTGGAACTGAGATAAGACGGGAGCCTCGAGTTCTTGGAAGGTATTGAAAATTAGGCCTTGAGCTAAGGGGATGTGCTTGGCCTCTTTGAGGACTAGTTGAATTATCGGGATGTTGAGGTCGTCAGTTCGGTAAAAGTTGGGGAGATCACGGCGCCGGATGATACCTTCCATGCCCGGTATCCCTGGAACCAACTTGTCCAAGTCGTCGTCTAAAAAAAATACAACGGTTAATTGGAGAAACAACGCAAAATTAATTGTTTTCAATTTTTATGTGAATTTTATTCAACGGTAATTTCAAAACAAAATTCATTGAACAATTTGAACATTGATACTCAGTGGCGGATCCAGCCGGATCTTTAAGTGGGTGCACGTCCCAGATAATTTGTCCACATTAGCTAGGCACCAAATTTAAGATATTATATAATTAGTAAGTAATTAAAAAGTGTATTAGTAAAAATAATTATAATTTAATAAAAATAATTATAAATTTAAAATTAAAATGACTAAATAGTTTAGTTAAAATAAGAAAATTATGAATTTTAAAATATGATTAAAAATTATATTTATATTTAAAAAATAAAATGACAAATTAAGTGGAATAGATGTAAATAAAAAGAGTGAACAAATTATGTGGAACAGAATGAGTAAAATATATAAATTATAATTATCTTTTACGTGTTTTTATATATTAAAAATGTTTCATTACATTATTATTTTTAGTTAAAATTGAAGAAAAATATATTTGGTTTAAAGAGTTGCTGTAAAAAAAAAAAAAAAAAAAAAAAAAATTGAAAAAATTATCAAATTAATATACTTTGTATCTGATGCTGTCATTTGAATACAAAACACAATAGAATGAAGAATATTATCATTTGAATAGAGAGTACAAAAATATTTTTATTAGAAGTATATATTATATATAATTATTTATTCTTTTAAAAAAAATTCTAAATGAATCTTTAAAGTAATTATATAAATGAATGAATTTATCATTTAAGGGTATGTTTGTTTGGAGGTTTAGATTAGATTTTCACTATTCATCCCATTTTTTTCCTCCAAAAACATCAAATCAAACACCTATTTTTTATTTTTTATATTATACTAAAAATTAATTTTACATTCAAAACATCGCATCAACACCTATTTATATCACATCATACAACTATTCAAATTTAAAATTTTTACTATTCAAATCACAACTTAAAATCCAAATCCCAAACAAACACACCTATATATATATATATAAATTCAAATGGGGTCCTGTGACCCCACTTCTTCAAAGTAGATCTGCAAGTGTTAGAGCACCCGCATCGGAGGAGATGCGCCACGTTACAATTTAAAAAAAATATATATATATGCAGATTCGTTGCTTACTGGCATCTCTAGCTTTTACTCTGTTGCCCTATGTTTCAATTTAATTGGAACACATGACACTTATTATATATATATATATATGATATATATTTTTTAATTTATATTGAATTTATTGTTATATTTAAATTTTGTAATATTTTTATAGTTCATAATATTTTATATTCTACAAAATGATACCAATATTGAATATATTTTATCAATTTAAAATTTAAAATATATAAATACAAATATTATATAATTATATTGAACAAATCAATATTAGTAAATTTAATTTAATTTATTACATAAAATATAATTATAAATTTTAAAACAATTAAATAATATAAAATTATATTAAACAATAAATATATTTAGTTTATAATTAATTATACATACATAATTAATAATAAGATATTAATAAAATTTGGTTAGATGAATAATTAAGTTATTTGTTCTTATTTTAATTTTAAATATTTATATTGTAATTGCAATGTAATGTAATGTAATTTTTTCTTCAAAAACTTAATTATTTTTTATATTTTATTTAATTAACCAATAATAATTATAACAATAAAAATACAAATTTGATATTACAATTACAATTTAAAAATAAATTAAAACTAAATTTAATTAAATAATAAATAATATATCTTTTTTTCCATAATTTTTTAATAAATCAAAATATTGACAAATAATAATATAATATAATATAGTATAATAATTAAATAAATAATTAATACTACAAATTAAAACTATAATTAAAAAATAATATATATAATATGAAAATAAAAATTTATTAAAAAATTAGGATGAATATCTTTGTTGTGAATATAAAATAGAAGAAAGTATCTTCGCTGACGTGGCAGGGAGAGAAAATGACGTAGATAAGAAAAAGTAGTGGAGATAGCCAATGGTCTTAATACTCCGAACTATGTTAAATCCTGTTATTTTTGTCATCTAAATTTATATATATTTTTTTCTTTATAGTTATCAAAAATACTATTTTTTTTTTAAATTTTTAATATAATTTCTTTTTTTTTTATCTATTTTTTAAAAAACTTATTCTCGATCAAAATATAATAAATTTCAATCACGGAGATAATATATATATATATATATTTTATGACGTAAGAATATTGCAAACAATGATTTAAATGATTTATTAAGGAAGTTTTTAAATCCGCAACTTTGCAATAAGAAATTCTCCTATCACAAATTGTCAACGTTCCTTTTGAGTTAAATGATTTAATCCCCTAGAGATGGAAATCTTTTATTTTAATTTGAATAAAAAATAATATTTATAATATATTAAATAACAAATTTCGAGTGTGTTCCTTTGTGACATCTTTTTTTAGTTTTTACGGTTTAGATTTCATCAAGTTGTGTAAGAAAATATATTCTTCTAATTTTATTACAAAATATTATAAAAGTTTTTTTTTTAAAAAAAAATAAATTTTCAAATCCAATCCAAATTTTAAAAAATAGTACATTCTAAATATTTAATTTGATGATTTCTTATAATATATTCTTTTAAATAATATAATTACAACCTAATATTATAACAAGAGAAACATAATTTTCACAAATTAAAGGAAGTCAAAGAAACACAACCATAAAAATAATACTTCATTCGTCTCATATCTATATATCCATTTATTTTTTATACGGAGTTTTAAAAATATTAATATTATATTGGGATAAAGTAGAAATAAAGGTAAAAAGACTAAATTAATCCTATTAGTATTGTATGATATAAATGTAATGACATTTGTGCAATATATTGTAAATTAAAATGATATTTGTAATGTTAGGTAGATAATACAATTACTAAAAAAAGAAATGAATATTTTGCTATGGGACGAACCAAAATAGAAAAATAAATAGATTGTTCAAGGACGAATGGAGTACTACTAACTGAATATAAATATGCTCCTAGTTAGTATTGACTTTGTGTTCTTTGTATGAATATATTTTTTATGGTAAACTGTTTTTTCAGTCATGTAATTGGACCCCTTTATCATTTTAGTCCCGTAAGTGGAGCCTGTCGCAAACTAGTCCTATAAGTGAAAAATTTTCGCTATTTTAGTCCTCCGGCGCCGGAGACGCCCGCGTAGCTCGCCGGAGGTGTCGTGTACGCCAGGTGTCCCGCCAGGTCAGCGACACTTGGCGGACACGTGGATTTATTTATTTTTTCATTTTTTTTTATTTATTTTTATTGGACCAAATAAATAAAATAAAATAAAATAAAATACAAATAAAATTAAAAATAAGTTTTAAAAAAATTAAAAAATCCACGTGTCCGCCAAGTGTCGCTGACTTGGCGGACACGTCACCTCCGGCGAGCCACGCGGGCGTCTCCGGCGTCAGAGGACTAAAACAGTGAAAATTTTTCACTTATGGGACTAGTTTGCGACAGCTCTACTTACAGGACTAAAATGATAAGGGGGTCGAATTACGAAACTAAAAAAACAATTTACACTTTTTTTATTGGACGCAGATGACTTGCTAATCCAATCAAATCAATATGAACCGTGCGCTGATTAAATAAATAAATCAACATATGATAAGTATTTCATAAAAAAACTATATTCATAGTGCTAATTGATCAAGTCAAACATATTATATAAAGATAATCAATATATAGTTTTATGTTGTGTTATGAGAAATTATATACTGAGTTATAACATAATATATAGTGCATTATAAATATACTATGATAGTATAAAATATATGTTGAATATTTTTATATGATATGCTAATCCGATCAAATCAACACTACTGATTTGATTGAGTCAACACCAGATCCACAATCTTTTTTATCTTATGTATGAAAAATAATGATATCGGATAATATAAAAAAAAATATAATATTTTGTATTAAATTATTGAATAGAATATATATTATATATAGTGTTAAAATGTATTTCTTATATTTTTGATAATATTTATAGATAATTGTGACACCTAAAAATAGATTGGAAGAGATGATTATTGCAAATAGTTAGAATAATAAATCAAACACAGTGGTTGTGTTCTTTTGTGGGTTTTTAATAATTTTACTGTTCAGATTTTTTTTTTATATTATATTAAATATCTATTTTACATTCAAAATATCACATCAATATTATTTGTATTACATTAAACAACTATTCAAATTCAAATTTTACTATTCAATTTTTATTGTATAACTTTACAATCTTTTTATTGACGAAATGGATGTGGTCATCACTTTTTTTATTATTATTATTAGTACGATTTTCGATAAATATGAAGTATAAAAAATATAAGATTTGTTTGATTATAATTTTTTCGACACGATTCTCAATATATATTTTATATTCTTTCAAAAGTCAACCTTCAATATAAAATATTTTTATTTTTATATCATTAATATGTTTTTTTATGTCTCACATAAAAATTTTAAAAAAAAATCTTCCAAATAAAACACTAAACAAACAAACCTATAACATATACATACACTCTTATAATATATAATATATATTCTATTTATTTAAAAAAAATAATAATAATGTAATATAATATATTATTTTTTATATTAATACACAATTTTTATACCTAATATTAAAAATATATATTCATGTAAAAAACACATGATGAACACTTATATTTTTGTTTCAATTATTAGGTGAAATACCTATTGTATTCAATATTTTACACGACAATTTAATATAATTTTAAAAAATAATACTCTCTATTCGTAATATTTAGTCTATTTTGACTTACCGTGAGAATAAAAAATATATATTTTTTACTAAAAACAAAAAAAAAAAAAAAAAAAAAAATAGTTGAAAGAGAATTTGATTTGTATTTAATTATTATTATTATTATTATATAATATTTTTGAAATCTAGATTATATTTTTATTAAAAATCATAAAAAATAGTACTCTTTATGTTTCAATACAATAATTTTATTTATTATTTTTGTCTGTCCCAAAATAATAGTGTTATTTTTATAAATAACCATATCACTGTAAAATTACCCTTACTTTTTCATTTTTATTACACAATTGTCACTATTTTTTATACTAATATATTCACAAGGACAAAAAAATCTTTTACTTATACTTTATACCAACTACCAATATAATATTAATATTTTTTAAATATCGTGTCTAATCCAATTAAGACTATATTTATATTTATGGTACGAAAGAGTATTAAATAAAAACATAAAACAACGAAAACCCATATGCTGCCGAGAAAAACAATGGCAGACAGAACCCAAAACAAAAACACATGCAGTAATCCAATTAACAAATAAAACAACGACACATCGAAAAAATAAAATAAAATAAAATAAAATAAATGAAAAGACAAAAAGAGGCTTCTTTTTTATGTTTTCAAGAACGTTTTTTCTTTTTAATCAAGAATATTTGTATTTAAATAATATTTACTTAAATCTATTAGGACAAAAAGTTTTTTTTTGTTTTTTTAATTAGGTTCAAATAGTAAAAATGAAAGGTGTATTTAATAAACATAATAAAAAATAAATATTTGATATAATATTTTAAAATAAAAAAACAAAATAATGTCATAATTCATCAATCTCAGTACAAATTATGTTACCATTTTTTTTCCCTTAAATTTATGTCTAATTTAATTATAATATTTTATTTTATCCAACTCTAAAGTTTTCATTTACTTGTTGTGTCATTATATTTATTATTAAAAATATATTTATATCTATATAATTTTTTGTACAAATATCATTATAATACTATTATAAGATATGAATAAAAGTATTTGTGTAATTTTTTCTTAATTTGTACTATATTTTTATATAATAATTAATATTAAAAAATCAACACTAAATAGGACCCTTCAAACTGGAAGGAAGTGAAAATAGTATATAGTAATAATTTTATTATTCATATTTTAATAATAATAACGAATTTATTATTTTTTTTTAGCATCACATTTTTATTAATAATTTAATTACAATTTTATAATATTTAAATTTATATATTTTTATTATTTATTATAAAATAAAAATATTTATTAAATATGAATGCATTTATCTCCAAATAAATTTAGATAAATATTGGTTGGAGGATATATTTTTTTTAAAAGAAAAATTTAAAATATATATGTGTAATGAGAGTCAAAAATGTCGTCCTGCTCACTGACCTGGGAATGGAAACTCTCCATCTTCGATGAGCTTAGGCATACACAGATAACTCCACAGCCCACACGGACTGATCGTGTCAAAGTACAGCAGCGGCACGCCGACGTCGCCGGCAACTTCAGCCGCGAAGGCGAAGATCCCGTCGGCGATCAGGCAGCTGACGGAATCCGGCGACACCATCTGCCGGAAAATAGGCGAGGCCACAGCTTCCATGGATTCGATGAGGTTCCCGATTTGGTCCGCCGTCCGAGGGTTTTCCTCCGGCAGGCCGTCGGGGACGGTCTGGAATTTGAGATTGGGGTATTTGGCGTAGTAATTGGCGGAGGTGCTGCAGGCGAGGAGGCGGCGGTGGACGTGGTCGGTGTTGATGAAGGTGACTCCGACGCCGGCGAGGCAGAGGAGCTCGGCGAGGTTGAGCATGCAATTGAGGGGGCCCTGGAGAGGGAGAGGGAAGATTAGGACATGGGGAGCCATTGGAGAGCTCTGATTCGGCATTTTCGGGTTCGAATTTAAGATTTTTGGAATTTAGTTTTGCAGAAGGAAACCCTAGATTGACGAGGAAGACGAAGATGAAGATGGGGAGAGCAGTTTTATATTGGTACGGCACTGTGTGTTTGTACTCTTATGGTTCTTTCTACTAATTACAAAATTATATATTTATATTTATATAATTTCTATCTTTTTCTTCTCTACGCTACGGGCGTTTGGGAGAATAAAATTGCTGTAGAAAAGTCAACAAAGTTGGCTCATCTCTCCCGGCAGAAATGAGTTGTAAATTCACCACCTGTTTATTCGTTTCAGATCATCCCCACAATACAATATTCCTATATTCTAATTGTGTTGTATCTATTATCTTCTCTCATAATATAATTTTGATTGGGGTCCAAGGACGTAGGCAAAATTTTATCAAACTTCGTTAAATTTGGTGTTCTTTATTTTATTGTGGTGTATTAGTTATTTGGCAGTTATTTGGCAGTTATTTATTGTGCTTTAATTTTGTTGGGAAAATTCTGTCAAAAAGACTATAAAAGGTCTAAGAAAATTGGGTTTTAAATGAGCCTCACGTCTCCTCCAATTACCTGGGAATTTTCTTCAGTATTAATTGGGTACGATATTTCGCCGATTGTGTAGGGCTAACCCGTTTTTCACAACAATTGGTATCAGAACCCAGGTTGCTGAGTATGCTCTGTGGTCGCAGTTAATCTGATCTTTCACATCAGAAAAGCGTCTCGGTTAAGCTGTCTTTATTGTGTAATTTTTTTTGTTAATTAAACACTGGAGCAGGAATGGCGGAAAAATCCGGTGAAAAATCAACTTCATATTCAAAGTCGTTGGTGACGTCGTCATCAAGAACGATGGTCACGAATGCCAAATTCGACGTCGAAAAATTCGACGGTACCAATAATTTTGGTATGTGGCAATGCGAGGTGTTGGACATTTTGTTCCAACAAGAGTTGGACAGAGCGCTTGCAGAGAACAAACCGGAGGATGTTGATGATAAAGACTGGACGAGAATCAACCGTCTGGCGTGTGGTACAATCTGGCTATGTCTCTCCAAGGAGCAGAAGTATCCATTTATGAGAGAGACGATGGCGCACAAATTATGGAATGAACTGGAGGACAAATTCACGAAAAAGAGTACAGAAAATAAGCTCTACATGAAGACAAAGTTGTATCTCTTCCAGTATTTGTCAGGTACCACTATGAACGAATACATAACTAGATTTGATTCTCTAGTTACCGATTTGCTGAATTTGGATGAGAAGATAAATGATATTGATAAGGCATTGATACTGATTTCCTGATGAATATGAACATATAATTGTTAGCATGTTGATTGGGAATGAAACAATTTCTTTTAAGGAAGTTACTACTGTTTTGTATTCTAACGAGATCGTGAGGAAAGATAAGTTAGAACACAGGAGTTCGACTGGTGAAGTCCATTTTGTCCGGGGTCATAACCAAAAATACAAACCGGTGAGAAGAGACAGATCCCAATTAAGAGGCAGAGTAGCAAAAGATGAATGTGTCTTTTGCCACGAGAAAGGACACTTGAAGAAAGACTGTCCCAAGCTATAAAAGAAAAAGGGAAAAACAATAGCTGAAGCATGTGTTGCTGATAATAATGAATCAGATTATACATTAGCATGTGCCTCATCGGTGACTTGCAGTGACGACTGGCTGCTGGACTCAGGATGCTCATTCCACATGTGTTTCAGGAATGAGTGATTTGTCAATTTTGAAAACGTTGACGACGGAATTGTCTATCTAGTTAACAATCAACCTTGCCAGATAACTGGAGTTAGTTCGGTTTATCTGAAGAACCACGATGGAACAGTTAAAGTGTTGACAGAGGTTCGGTACATACCAAAGTTTGCCAAAAACCTCATTTCAGTGGGAGTCTTGGAATCTAAAGCCCATTCTATCGGCATTCAGAATGAGATTCTTAAAGTGATCTCAGGAGCACTTGTCGTCATGAAAGGTAAAAGAAAAAATAACCTGTATCACTTTCAGGGCAACACAGTGGTTGGCGTAGCAGTAGCAGTATCATAATCAGATAAAGAAGATGAGATGACCAAGCTCTGGCATATGAGACTTGGGCATGCAGGTGAAAAATCCTTGCAGACTCTGGCAAAGCAAGGATTATTAAAGGGTACAAAGACTTGCAAACTTATTTTTTGCGAGCACTGTGTTCTGGGAAAGCAAACGCGGGTGAATTTTGGAACAACAATCCATAACACTAAAGGCATTATGGATTACATTTACTCAGACGTATGGAGACCAACCAAGATAGCTTCTTTGGGAGGAAACCATTATTTTATAACGTTTGTTGATGATTTTTTCAGGAGAATATGGGTATATCCAATGCGAACTAAAGACGAAGCTTTCAGCAAATTCCTCGATTGGAAGAGAATGATGGAGAACCAAACCGGGAGGAAGATTAAAGTGCTTCGATCTGACAATGGTACGGAATATCGAAATGACCTTTTTTTCGATATTTGTAAGAAATAAGGCATCTCCCGACATTTCACAGTACGGGTTACGCCACAACAAAATGGGGTGGCCGAACGCATGAACCGAACCTTGCTGGAGAAAGTTCGGTGTATGATGTCTAATGCTAATTTGGGCAAACAATTCTTGACTGAAGCGGTCACATATGCAAGCCATCTGATCAATCGACTACCATCAGCTGCACTTAAAAGCAAAACACCTTTGGAGGTATGGTTTGACAAACCTGCAAATGATTATGATTCTTTACGTGTGTTTAGATCTATTGCATATTATCACATAAGAGAATCAAAGCTAGATCCAAGGGCGAGAAAAGCTATCTTCATAGGGATATCATCTGGAGGAAAAGGATATCGCTTATGGTGCCCAGATATGAAAAAAATGATCTTTAGTAGGGATGTTACTTTCAACGAATCAGAGATGTTAAAGAAAGTAACCAAGCAGCAGACAGAGAATACCCCCAGCAGGTGGAGTGTTCTTCCAAGGAGGTGGAGTTCCAGACATCTATGACTAAACTTGTAGATGATCAACAACTGACGATGATGGTTCTTGTACTGAAGAAGAGCCCGGAGAAAGAGAGGTTTTAACCTAAGAACCTCAACAGCAACAAGATTTACCAATTGCAGTTAGGAGGCCAAGAAGAGAAATTCAGAAACCTGCTCGATTTCAAAGTATGGTGGCCTATGCACTTCCTGTTATTGAAGAAGGTATACCACAAACTTTTCTTGATGCAGTGCATTGTTCTGAAAAAGAAAAGTGGAAGAAAGCCATGAACGAGGAAATGCATTCCCTTGAAGCAAATCACACATGGAAGTTAGCTGAGCTACCGAAGGGAAATAAGACAATTGGTTGCAAGTGGGTCTATACTCAGAAAGAAGGATTTCCCAATTGTAATGACGTCCGCTACAAGGCAAGATTGGTAGCCAAAGGCTATGCTCAAAAGGAAGGAATTAATTACAATGAGGTATTTTCTCCTGTTGTAAAACATTCCTCTATTCGTATTTTGTTGGCCTTAGTAGCGCAGTATGATTTGCAACTAGTTCAAATGGATGTACAGACGGCGTTCTTACATGGTGATTTGGAGGAGGAAATCTACATGACTCAACCCGAAGGATTTAAGGTTGCTGGGAAAGAAGATTGGGTATGCAAGTTGAACAAATCGTTGTATGGATTGAAACAATCTCCAAGACAGTGGTACAGACGATTTGATCAATTCATGACCAGCCTGAAGTACACCAGGAGCAGTTTCGATCACTGTGTATATTTTTGTAAGCGACCTGATGGATAGTTTATTTATCTTCTTCTCTTTGTAGATGACATGTTAATTGTTTCGAAAGATAGAAGAGGGATAACAGATTGAAGTTCCAACTGAGCAAGGAGTTTGAAATGAAAGATCTCGGTGAAGCAAAGAAGATTCTGAGTATGGAAATAACGAGAGACAGAAAGAGAGGCACATTGTGCTTGACCCAGAAGCAATATTTGAAGAAAGTACTAGAGCGATTTGGCATGACTGACAAAGCCAAACTTGTTCCTTATTCAAATGCGGTTGGTAGCTTGATGTATGCGATGGTGTGTACAAGGCCTAACATTTCACATGCAATTGGGATCGTGAGCAGATATATGCATGATCCAGGCAGAGAACACTGGCAAGACGTGAAATGGATTCTAAGGTATATCTTGAAAACCTTAGATTTTGGATTGATGTTTCAAAGAAATAATGATACTGGTCAACATGTAGTTGGGTACTGCGATTCAGACTATGCAAGAGATTTGGATAAACGACGATCAACTACTAGTTATGTGTTCACTCTTGCAAATGCACCATTTAGTTGGAAGTCGACCTTACAGTCTACAGTTGCTCTATCAACAACAGGGGTTGAATACATGGCCATCACTGAGGCTGTTAAGGAGGCAATCTGGTTACAAGGATTACTGGATCACTTGGGAGTCTGTCAAAAACATATTACAGTGTTTTGTGACAGCCAAAGTGCTATTCATTTAGCAAAGAACCAAGTATATCATGTTGTCGGACGGAGGTGGAGACTATCCCGCATCTCTTTATTGGTTCGGGGGTTGCCTGACGAGTATGGGAGCACTTTGCAGCGCTGTTCAACCTATCTTTACCGGAGACACATACACTGCATCTACTTGTGTCTTCGTGGCGGCTCTCCTCGGCGCACCCTCAGAGTATCAGGGCGTATGTTCCGTTGTTGATTTTTTGGTTCCTTTGGATTGCTCGGAATGATGCGAAGCACAGGGGGCTTCGGGTATCCTCCGAGAGGATCATCTGGCGGATTCATACACATTTGTAGACTCTTTGGCGAGCTAGGATCCTCTTATGTCGACATTGGGCGGGTGACTTTCATATTGCCGAGGGGCTTGGACTTCGTTACCCCCTCCGACCCCTCGGCCCCCGATCATGGTGCGATGGGAGGCACCCTCTCCGGGATGGTTCAAGCTTAACACCGATGGTGCTTCGCTTGGCAATCTTGGCACAGCGGGTGCGCTGGTATTATCCGCGATTCAGTCGGGGCGATACTCATTGCTTTCCAGACTCCGATTCCACGGGCGACGAACACTTTGGCGGAGCTGACAGCGATCCAGACTGGGGTAGGGATTGCGATTGAGCGAGGATTGACGCCGTTATGGATCGAGACAGACTCGATGGCATGCATATCTCTGATCTCCTCCGAGACGAGCCACTGGACTCTCCAGCGCTACCTTATGCATGTTCGACTACGACTTAGGGATTCGACTTGGAGGATATCTCATATATATCGAGAGGGGAACTGCGTAG